TTGCTTTTGCTTGATTACATGTATTTGTTACAAGAGTTTTTAAAAAACTTTTTTAATGAGGGCGGGGAGGAAAGGAAGGGAGAGAAAAATCTATTTTTGCTAATAAAAATGAAATTTAATTTAAAAAAATAAAATACTCTTTCCATAAGCTAATTAAATTTGATTGATTATCATCAGGAAGCACATTGGTGGGACTCGAGTGACAGTGCTAGAAAACCCCATAATCCCTCAGTTACCCCTAAAATCTTGAAGGAGAATAGTAGGTAATACCCTGTGGGGGTCCCCAGACTGTCCGTGAGAGTTTGAGATGGGAGAATGAATCCAGATGCAATGATACATATGTGTAAATGATAATTTTATCCTTTAAAAGGTGAAGAATTAAACAAGGGAATTTTTATTCTGAATCCGATTCTCACCAACAAGGACAAAAGATAGCATGGAAATGATAGAAACTTTGAGGGGAAGAAACCATTCCTTTATAGAATTTGTGATGGTGAACAGAAAAGCTGGGCATAGACTGATGTGTTCCCTGGATTTTAGAAGAGGAAATTTCAAAAGGTTCAGGGAGAAAACTGATAGAATCCATTAGCTTAATATTCTGTAGGAGGAGTTGACTGAGGTGAGATGGGAAACACTCATGGATGGAATTCTGAAGGCACAAGCAAAAATTATACTGAGGAGGAGGAAAAGGGTAGAGCTGCCTAAAGAAATAGATATTACTGCACAATGTTGCACATGGATGAACTTATATTTCAAACACACAGGTATAAAAAAGGGAAGAAAGGACCATTAACTGAAAATGAATATTGAAGACTTTGCTAATAATCAGTTCTATAATAGTGTCAGAACCCCTAAAGCTCAGGAAGAGTGGAAGTAGCCCAAGCAAGAGGAGGGTCAGAAGACTGTTGCCTGGGGTAGATGGTGATACATAACTGATGACAAAGAGGAGCCTGTATTACCCATCTCTCATGTTGTTCCAGGTTTTTTTGTTTAGCTAATAAAATGGTCTTTGGACTGGGAAAGAAAGCAAGAGCATAGAACTAAGTCTGGAAGAGAATTAAGAAGTGAATCTAGCCTACCACTCATTTTACAGATGAGGTAACAGGCCTAGGGAGGTTAACTGATTTGTCCAAGATCAACACAGGTAGGAAGTGTCAGAGGTGGGATTTGAATTCAGGTCTTCTGACTCCAAAGCCAGAAATCTTTCCATTGTACAACTAGACCTCAAAGATTAACAGAGTTAAAATGGAAGATAAATGAGGTGGTTAGAAAATGCCCAACTGCTCTCAATGATTCAGGTCACTAGGCCCAGAGGACCTGCATTCCAGGGTACTGAAAGGATTGGAGGATGTGATTTGCCAGGGTATTGTTAGAATTTTAAAAGATCTTGGATGTGGACAGAGATGTTACAGAATTAGAGCAAACATACTGATTTTAAACAAAAAAAGGAAGAAGGTAGAGGTCCATGAACTATAGACAAATGAGTTTGCTTTTAAAATTCTGGGACATGTTATTAAAGGGATGGTTTAAGAGTATTTAGAAACAGAAACAATGATCTCTAAAAGCCACCATAGTTATATAAGAATCAGTCATTTGCCTTTCTAGAAGAGTAATTAGATTGGTAGATCAGGGGAATGCTGTTGACATAATATACTGAAATTTCTGAAAAACATTTGATGGTCTCTCATGCTTTCCTTGAGAACAAGTTGTCCTAATATTGATGTCTAGATATTACAGTAAGGTGGATTTAGAACTAATTGAATGATGACTGGACCTAGAACGTACTGGTTGTCTGACCACTTCTCAGTTTCCTTTGTTGGTTTATCATCCATCTTCTGTCCTCTAAGGCTATACCCACTTTCCTATTTTCTTCCTATGATCTTTCTCTTAGTCATCTCATCTCCAGTCCTATGGGTTCAATCATCATCGGCCTCCCCATCTAGTTTTCTAGTCCTATCCTCCCAAACTTCTGTCCTGAATTTCCAGCTGTTTGTTGGACATTTCCATCTGGATAATAGGATCATAATTCTAGAACTGAAGTTATCCAAATCCAATTCCCTCATCTTAGATATTGAGAAACTGAGGCCAAGGGAGGTTAAGGGACTTATCCAGGGTAGCAGAGGTAGTTATCCTCAGAGGTAGGAACTGAACCCAGGGCGTCTTCCTCTACAGCCAATTCTCATTCCATTGTTCTGTGCTGCCTCCAGTGCCCTGCTGCCACCTCAGTCTCAGTATGTCTAAAACCAAAATCATAATCTTCCTCCTCAAACTTTCCGTCTTCTAAACTCCCGTCTTGGTGATGGCTGTGCCCACCTTCCAGTCTCCCAGACTCACAAACCTGAGTTATCTTTGATACTTCCCTCTCCTCACTTCTCAAATTTAATCGGTTGACAAGTCCTATCAATTCTACCTTCCCTATATCTCTCACTTTCTTTCTCCTCAAACCACCAGCACTTCCAGTTAGATCCTTATTCACATGGACTATCATAGCATCCTTCTAACTAATCTCCCTGCTTCCATTCTCTCCCCATCTCCAATCCACTCTTCAAGAAGCTGCCCAAATAATCTTCCCAAAGCTCGTTGATATTATATCATTCACTCCTCTGCTCAAAACCCAATGGTGCCTCCTTATTGCTTTTAGCATAAAATGCAATCTCCTTTGACTTTTTTTTTGGCAATTGGGGTTCAGTGACATGCCCAGGGTCACACAGCTAATAAGTGTCAAGTGTTTGGTCTGAGACTGGATTTGAAGTCAAGTCCTCCTGACTTCAGGGCTGGTGCTCTATCCACTGTGCCACCTACACCTAGCTGCCCCTACAATCTCCTTTGGCTTGACATTCAAGTCCCTCTACAATCTAGATGGAGGGATGAGGAACCTGGGGCTTCAAGGCCACATGTGGTCTTCTGGGTCCTTGGGTGGGGCCTTTTGACTGAGTTCAAGTTTTACAGAACAAATTCTTTTATTAAGGGGATTTGTTCTGTGAGGTTTGGATTCAGTCAAAGGGCTGCACTTGAGGACCTAGAGGGCCACATGTGGCCTCGAGGCTGTAGGCTCCCTACCCTGATAGAGCCACCTTGCCTTCTCTTACATTACTCCTTTTCATATACTACATGTTGCCACCAAACTGGGCACCGCTGGCTATTCCCCTGATCTTGACATACTGTCTCTTGCTGCTGTTTTAGCACAGACTATTCCCCACATGTCTGAATACATTCTCTTATCATCTCTGCCTTTCATAATCCATATCATCTTTCAGGGCTCCACTCAAGTGCCACATCCACCATGAATCCCTCCCTGATCCCCCAGCTAAAAATGTCCTCTCCCTCTTCAAATTTCTCTTCCAATGTTTTATCTGGATCTTCCCTTTGCCCTCTTCATTTCCCTGCCTTTTGCATGTGTGTACCACATCCCCTCCAACCAAACAAACATAAGCTCCTTGAGAGCAAGAATTGTATATTTTTCTTATTCTCGAAGTGAAGCAAAAGGGATTATACATAATAGTCACTTAATGTGTGTCTTTTGATTATTGGAAGCAGCAGTGATGGAAGAAGATGGAAGATGGGAAGGAGTGAAGGGATCTACTTGGCAGGATCACCATGTGTCAGGTGTCTTATTATAGGGATTCCTTTTGTGTATGGGTTGCACTAGATCATTGTTGAGATCCCTTCCAGCTCTTAAATTCTGTAATTCTGTGATCATTGGTTTTCCCCTCCGCATGATGGAGAGTTATTTTCTCTCCTCCTCTCCTCCAATGTTTAAGAGTTATGGTCTTTCCACCTCTAATGATAGAGTTTTTCTCCAAATCCTCATAGTGAAGTTGTGTTGGTCCCTTGTGATGGAGAGTTGTTTTGCCTTTCTTTACTTCACCTCCATGATGGAGACTTTTTTTCTATTCTCTCTCCCCATCCTGTAATGCAGAGCTGTCCCATCCTTTCTCCCTCACTCATGATAGGGAGCTGTTTTTTTTTTTCTTTCACCACATCCCTATGATGAAAATGTCTGTCCTCCCACTCCCATCATAGAAGTTGTTCTGACAGTCTCCTACCCCTATGATGGAAGGTTGTTCTGTCTTATCCCATTCCACAATGGAATTGTTTTATCCACCCCCCACCTCTCCACACCCCCAATGACAAAGAGTTGTTCCAGTCTCCCATAATGGAAAGTTGCTCTAGCCTTCTCCTCCCTAATACACCCCCCCCCAGCATTGTGGAAATGTATTCCATCCTTTTCCTCCATAATAAAGACCTGTTATGCCCTCTTCTCAAGATGGAGAGTTCTTCTGTCTTCCACAACTCCATGAGAGAAAGTTGTTCTGTTCCCTTCCCTCATCTGTGATGAGAATTTTCCTGACCTTTCCACACCCCCACTCCCATCACCATTTTGGAGATTTTTTTTGGTCCTTCATGATGGAGGATTGTACTGTCCCCCCCCCCCCACCTCCACAACATGATGATAGAGAATTGTTCTGGTCCTCCATGATGAAGAGTTGGTCTCTCTTTCCTGACTCAAATCCTCTTTCTTGGTCCCCACCCAACTTCTCAAGCAGAAGTACAAGATGCGTGTACAGGTTGGTTTATTTACAAATATACTGAAGTGTTGTCTTTTTTCCATTTTCTTTTTTTTTTCTTTTTGTGGGGAGAAGCAAGAGGTTATGAGCTTGAGGGCCAGGAGGCCCGGACACTGTTACCCGGCCGGACTGGGAGGGCCGGGGGTTGAAGTGGGAGAAGGAAGGGGAGATGGAGGGAGAGAGTGGCAAAAGGACATTGTAAACTCTAATAAATAACTTAACAATGACGAGTTATTAAATAAAAATGTCAGCCTATGCACACCAGAGAGGGGGTTGGGGAGCAAGGCTTAAGGGTAGGGGGTTTGGGCAGTGAGATTCTGTACAAGTTAAACAACAGCGTCACCTCAGCTACAGAGTACACAGGAACACCTGAGACAGAGAGACAGAAGGACAGAGGGAGACAGGAACAGATGGAGGGAGAAGGGGGAACAAGAGAGAGAGTGACAGAGACAGAGAGATAGAGAGGGAGACAGACATAGAAAAAGAGACAGAAAGAGAAAAATAATGAGGGCCAAAGACAAGTAAAGAGATGGGAATAGCCACAGGACAGAGGCCAGAGCAAGGATGGTCTCTTAAAAGTCAGTTTCCAAAGTCCTAAATAACCGGGAGTCCCTTTGCAGTCACTGTTTAACCCCATAAAGTATGTGTGTGAGAATGTCTGTGTATATGTGTGGTGTCTGTAGATGGGAATGTATAAGAGCTCATGGTGGTGTTTAATTATGTGCATGTGTGCTCATGAATGTGCCCATGTATGCGTGAGGGTTCATGCCCTTCCTAGCCTTTTTTGTTTCTGCCCTCTCATCCAGTTATTTCAGTGGCTACTCCTGTCTCAGAGGAATCTCAGACCCCCACCCCCAGTCAGCTCAAGAAGAAACTAGGCTGCTACCCTTTCTCTGGGCTGGCAGGAGTGGAAGGGGAAGTGGAGAGGCTGAGTCTGGGTTGGAGAAGAGGCAGAACTTTCTTAGTGGGAGTGGTCAGGGAGGTATTAAGAAGTACCTTGGTCTGAGAATCAGAGGCAGGTAAGGGGATGGGACGGGCAAGGTTAGAAGCAAGGCAAGAGGGCTCAATCTCTCATTAACTTCTCTTCCTTTCCCTCCCCAGGGGAAGGTTCTTCTGAGAATGGATATTAACCACCCTGATGCCAGGGCAGGGCTCATATGGAGGCAGTGAGCCTCCCAAGAATGTCCAGTTCAAAGTGGCATTGAGCTAAAGTACAAAGTAGATGCCCTAGGGCAACATCAATCTTCTGGAGTTGTAGATAGCAGATTCTAGTGCCACCATCCAGGGCACAGGGCTTCTATACTGTCTTTGCTAAGACCCTCTCATCTAGTTCCCAGGCTCCTCCTATTGATGGTGAGACAGGAAGGAGGAAGAAACAGGAAGTGGCTTTCCCCACATATTCCCATGTCTATACAAAGGTTCTTAAGATAGACAGAATGAGGCTAGGCCAGCAGACTCCACTCCCCTCCCTCTCCCTCTCCCCAGAAGGCTCAGTGGCTCCCCCCACTCCTCAGTGTAAATTCCTGGCTCCAGCCAGACTGATTTCCCCGTTGTCAAACATACTGGCCATGTTCATTTCTCTCTCAGTGCTTCTCAGTCCCCTCTGCACCCCACATTTCCTGCTTCTTCCCCCACTTTCAAGGCCTAACTTAATTCCCACCTCCCTGCCTACATGAAGTCTTTCCTGACCACTCGCACCCCCCCCTTCTACAGTACTTAGTTTTTGCATTGCACAGTTCATCACGACATCATACTGTCATCTAACATTTGCAAATTGTTTCATAAAGGATGGTCTTGCTTTCCAGTCTTGCTTCCCCAGCTGGGCCGTAGACCTGTAAGGGCAAAAACCCTGATGCTCCGTTCCCTGAAATACCTATGGAAATGCTGGGCCTATATTAGGTACAGGTACCATAATTTTTGGTGAAAAGGGCACTAGAGTTTGAGTCAGAAGACATGGGGTCTACTTACTACCAACTAGGTATTTGACCTTGGGCAAATCCATGTTCTTGTTGCACTCAATCTCTTCCTCCATAAAAGGAGAATATTGAACTAGGAGACCTGAAGGATCTCTTAGCCTAACAACATTTTGGTTCTCTCTTCCATAGGTCTGTCCTCAAGGAGCAGGGCTGAGGCCCAGGACTGAGCAAGAACAAGACTCTTAGAATAGAGAAAGATGTCCCCCAACCCCATACCACATGGATTCTGCCACCTCAGCCTGGCTGAGGTCATTCTTTGGTTGTATCTCTGGGCAGAGGCTGAAGAAAGAGTAGGACCCTAGCCTAACTGGAACCAGAACTAGGAATATGGTATAGTGGAAAAAGCATTAGATTTGGAGAAAGAGGATGTGGGCTTGGCTACTTTCTACCTGTGTGACCTTACCCAAGTCACTCCCTCTAAGCCTGTTTGCTCATTTGTAACATGAGGGAATTGGACTAATTAACCTCTGAGGTCCTTTCCAGCTCTAAATGTTATGATCCTAGGGAGATGCCTATAACAAGTGGCATTCTGATATCCCTCCTGAGTTCCTCCACATACTTAGCTTATATTCAAAAGATATATGAAAGTGACTCCAGGCCCTAGGATAGACCTGATCTGGCAAAGCCTTGAGGCAAGGCAAGTAGCTAATGAAGTTGTATTGCTTAATTTGGAGCCAGACTCTCCAAGGTTGTGCTGGATTTCTCACTGCTTAGGGTGTGCCAAGGCAGATCTGCCCATGCCAAGGAAAGCATTGTGTTTCAGGCCCTTGGTATCTTCCTTGTCCGAATCACCAAGTTTCTTCCTAAGTCTCTCCCTCCTTTTCTCTGTCTCCCAGATCTGCCACCTGTCTTTTCTCCCACCATGTCCCAGGCCAGAGAAGTCATCCCTAGAGAAATGGGAAGCTCTTAAGAATGATACCTTGAAGACAAAACCAAAATTGATTCCAATTAAGGAGAAAAGAAGAAATTGTCTAGAGATGAATGTGGATGCATTGGGAACTCATAAACTACCCTACATTTAAAAAAAACCTTGTATAGAAGATAGAAGTGTGATACTCTTACTAGTTTTGGAATTAAGGGACCTGCCATTTGCCACTTGGCTGACCTTGGGTAAATCCCTTTACCTATCTGGATCTCAGTTTACCAATTTGTAGAATGAGTGGGTTAGCCTCCCCTTTCAGATCTAGGATACACAGGACCTATGATCCTATAACTCTCAAAAGCAAGGACAGCTACTTGAGAATGAATACAAAAGAGTAACACAGTTGGGTAAGAACAGGGTTACAAGCCTTAAAACCCCAAATGAGCTGAAGCTGGTGATGAAAGCAAAGGATAACACAAAAGAGTGGTGAAGACTTTTTATAAAGCTTTGTTGGGAGAAGATTCAAGATGGGATAGGATCCAAGTCTGCTTAGGAAAAAATAGATGATGATAATAGATGATAAAGAGAGATTAGAGCTGACTTTACTGATGGGGTTTTTTTTTCCTACCAAGAATAATGACCTAGGAAGAATGTGACAAAAATGGTTAGCAGGAAGTTGGAATTGAAGATAAGCAGGATGGTCAGAGAATACCTAGCTAAAGAACAGAACTGTAAAAACAAACACTGTGTAATTATAATGACTAAGATTAGCAGCTCTAGAAAAGAAAAGAGAAGAGACAAGTGCATCTCCTGTCCTTAGATAAACTGGGAAACTCTGCAAGGAAAGAAACAAGCATTTATTAAGCACCTACTATGAGCCAGGAGCTGTGCTAAGTATTTTATAAATATTATCACATTTGATCCTCACGACAGCCCTGAGAGGTAGGTGCTGTTATTATACCCATGTTATAGTAGAATAACTGGAGGCAGGCAGGTGAAGTGACTTGCCCAGGGTCACACTGCTAGTTAAGTATTTGAGGCTGGATTTGAACTCAGGTTTTACAGACTTCAGGTTCAGCCCTTGTGTATACTGTGAGAATAGACTGATAAATTGGTTAGTTCTACAGAATTGCTTTTCCCCTCCTCTTTCTTTTTTATTCCTTGTTTCAAAGGCTGGCTTACTGTGGCAGGGAGTAGGTAGGGATATATTCAGAAACGAAAGTGATATAAAAACCACTAATTTTAAAAAGAGATTATCAAGCTGCTCTCCTTGGGCTCAAGTTATGAGGCCCAGAAGACATACATTTGGGCTACTGAAAGACCTGGAGAATAGAATTACTGAATCACTGCTGGTGATTGTTAAGAGATCTTGGAGGATGAGAAAACTACACAGGCCCAGAGATAGGCAAATATTCCATTTTTTTTAAAGGGAAAAGGTTAAGATCTGTTAACTCGAGGGAAGTAATGTTAAATTTAGGTGCTAGCAAAGTTTTAGAACATATTACTAAAAGGTTGGTTGATGAGCCACTAGAAAGTAAGCACCATGAGGGCAAGAACTCTTTGTCATTTTTTCCCCTTTGCATCCCTAATGCTTAGCACAGTATACTGTAGGCACTTAACAAATGTTTGTTGAATTGAGATTTTAGAAAAGGAGTCAGCAAGGATTCATCAAAAATAGGTCATATCTGACTTAGACCATTTTCTTTTCTTTCTTTAGGGTTAGTAGGTGGGTGGATCTGGGGAATGCCATGAGTATAGTGTTCTTGGATTTTCCCCAAAACATTTGAGAAAAGATAGAATGCTAGTACACTTTGAATTTTAAAATGGTTGAATAACAAAACCCAAAGAATCATCATTAATGGATGTCAGCATGGAGAGAGGTCCCTAGTGGAAAGCTCTTGAGCTCTGTCCTTGGCCCTATGCTATTTGTCATTTTTATCAGTGATTTGAATGAATCAATAGATGATCAAACTCAAAGCTGGCAGAGCTGGGAGGGAGAAGTAATACTGTATCACACAGTCAGTATCCCAGAAAAGACATAGAACACTGAGCCAAATCTAATAAGATGAAATTTAATAAAGAGAAAGTTCCTTTTTGGGGTTAAAAAGAAATCAACTTTCCAAGTGCAACAGAAGGAGAGGTGATTGGTTGGCTGTGTGTGTGTGTGTGTGTGTGTGTGTGTGTGTGTGTGTGTGTGTGTGTGTGTGTGTGTGTAAAAAGACTGGTGGGGTTTATTGGACTGCAAGCTCGATATAAGTCAGAGTGACATCGTAGACAATATGGCTAATTCCTCCTGACGCTGAATAAAGGGAAGCCCAGTGTTGGAAAAAAAAAAAGGGAGGTCATAGCCCTCTGCCGTGGTCAGACTACACATGGGTATTGTGTCTGGTTCAGAATGCCACATTTTAGAAGAGACATTGACAAGCACATTCAGAGGATGGTGAACAGGATGCTGAGGGGACTGGAGACCATGCCATGGAAGGATTCACTGAAGGAACAAGGGATTTTTAGTCTGAAGAAGACTTGGGAAAGGGGAGGGGGAGGGGGGGACACAATAGCTGTCTTCAAGTACTTGGAGTGCTCTCATTGGAAGAGGAATTAGATTCTCCTGTTTGGCAATAGAACGAGGAGCAATGCGTGGAAATTACAAAGAGAAAAATTTAAAGAAAAAATTCCTAATAAGGAGGAGGTAGTGAAGTGGGGATTCCCGTTCAGAAAGGAGTTGGACTAGATGTCCTTTGAAGTCCCATCCAGTTCTGAGGTTCTGTGTCCCAGGTTTCTCCCTGTCCCCCAGGTTTCTTCCTGAAGAATGTGTCTCTTTCTTTGTCCTCCAAGCTGGCTCATTCTTCTCTGTCACTGTCTGGTAGGTTGAAGCCTGAAATACTCAAGCCACAAGATTTGCCTCTCCCTTTTCTAATACTCCCTCCATGCCAGGCTGGAAGACTTCAGTGAAGAAATGTGAATGCTAGGTCACTGCCCTTTCCTCAGAGCTGTGGCTTGCTCCTGCCCTTCCCCTCCTCCTCAGCCCCCTACCTCTCCCCTATCCCTCCCTAGCTCCTCTTCTTAGAGATCAGGCAGACAGGTAGAGGGTGATGGGAAGGAATCTTATGTGTATTTCCTGGTAGGCCCTTCCTGTTGCCAAGGATCTTGAATTCCCCCCATGCTGTTTCTAAATTGAGTTTTTCCCTGCTGGGGAAAGGTGGGCTGTGAGTGTGAGGTCATCATTCAGTCTCTTTGTAGCTCCCAGGGTCCTTCCCAGCTGGGATATTCCTCCCTAGGGGCCAGGAATTTTGTTTCAGGTTTGTAAACTGAGAAAATGGGGGCAAGGCTGAGAAAAAGGAGGAGACATTGCAGGGAGAAGGGAAGGCAAAGGGAAAAGCTGTGTTCCTTTGGAGTGAGCGGTCCAGGTCCTCCATTACCTAAACCCTATGGCCTCAGGTAGCCTAAGTCCACCTATCCTCCCACAAAGCTCCCTCCTGCTTCCTGTCCTTTAACTCTGCCCATACACTGACAAGTCCTTGGGAAATCACCACGCCTCCGTACCCACTGAGGATTGAGGAAGGGGAGACGATGTGGTACAGGGTGTCAAGAATATCTGGGCTCTAGGCCCTACTGGGCCACTCACTCCCTATATGGTGAAGTTACTTCTCATCTCTGGGTCTCAGTTTCCTCCTTGGTAAAATGAAGTGGGCTGGGCTGTGATTTTTTAGGTCCTTTTCAGCTCTAACATTCTAGACCTAATGCAAAGGGGTGCCAGTGGTCCTCACACACAATGTCCCAGTAGCCTTCTGGAAACAAGGCAGGCTTTTTCAGAGGTGAGGCTTTGTTGGTGGCTGGGGCGGGGTGGGGCCTGGAGAGAGGGAAGGGGAGGGAAAGCACCTCTGAAATGCCCCTGCTGGGAACCTGCCCCGCCTCCCATCTCTGTTGTATCCCCAAAGGGGCAGCTTTACAGGATACAGAGCCAGTGATGTCTCCAAACGGAAAACGTAGAGAGAGAAGCCTGAAGGCCTAGACTTCTCTGGCCCAGCATACCAGCCTCTGCCCTCGCCAGGCCTGACCCTGGCAGGGGGAAGGAGATGAGGAAGGAGAGATAGGAAACCAAGCCACTCATCACAGATACGTTCACTTCTCACAGGCTAACTGGCAACTTGTCCACAATTAAGAGTTCTGGGGCATGCAGTGTGGGGTAGGGCCTCTGCCAGGGAAGGGGATTCTCTTGGGGGCAGGGCCTTTGCTGGGGGAGCAGGGCCACAGCAGGTGTCATTCATGAGGGGTAGGGGTTTAAAAAAATATATCGAATTTAAGCTTCCAAAAAAAGACCGGGAAGAGGAGGATGAGGACGACTGGGAGGAGGAAGAGGAAGCCCTCTGGGAGGGATCTGAGGGCAGAGGAGAGTGTTGAGGGGGAGGCAGAGGGGCAGGTGGCCAGTCTGTCCATGTGCCCTGCCTGGGGGTTCCTTTAGGGCGATAGGTCTCTATCGGCAAGAAAAGCCCCCCAGGCCCAGGCTCCTCCGTGCCCCTGTTTGAGGCAACCCAGGTGGGAGCCACAGAAGATGGGCTTGGAAACCCCAGGAGCCACATGGGCTGGGCCAGGACCTGAAGGAGCCACAGTGGCTGGGAGGGGCCTGGCCAAGAGGGGCCAGGCCAGTTGGGAGGGCTGGGCACCATATGGCTGTTGAGTCTGTCTGGGCAGCACGGCTGGCCTGCCCACCTCCTCTACCCTCCGGCCAGCCCTGGGGCTCCATTCTCTCTCAGGATGCGAAGTAGGAACTCTGCATGGAGTAGAGCCTGTCGATGGGGTTCCCTACTCGTGCCTGGAGGGAGCCCACGTCGGAGGAGCCCAGGAAACAGTCGCTCAGACTCGTTAAGGAGGTATCACTGTCAATGTCGTGGAAAATGGAGTCGTTTCCTGAGGAGCAGACACTGGGTCAGAGCCCTGGACCTTGGCCATAGGGACCCCTCCCCAGCAAGTATAGAAGAACCACATGGGCCCCTGGCCACCTAATCTGTGCAGAGGTGGTGGGAAAGATAGGATGACCAGGGCCTGCCATCCCACAGGTTCCTGAACGTGTAACATCTCTTCTAACTGGTCTAGGGACATCAGGAGACCTAGGAGAGGTCTCCATGTGCCTGTACATTCCCCAAGAGAAGTTCTGGGCCCTCCCCCCCAACCCAGATGAATCTCTTTTCTTTCTCTTATCTCCTTGTGGCCTCTGGCACACCTGTGGTACTAAGAAATAAGCCCCTCCTACCTCCCAACAATGGTCCCTCCCAAGACTTCTCCAAAGTGCCAGGTTCAAGCCTCCAGCCCCAAGGAAGCCCCCAGAGCCTGATCCAGGGAAAGCCCATGCCAGGACACAGAATGGGTGAGGGGCAGGGCCAGTCCTGGTTCCTTTACCACTATCAGAAGATGGATTAGGTCTGCCTTATTTCCTGTTGAGTTGGAGTGGCCTGATTTGGGGTAGGGGTAAAGGTAGGGTTCACTGGTCCCCTGGCACTTCCTAATTTTTGCTCCCAGGCAATATATGAGTATGATGCTGGGGGTGGGGGAAGGAGGGAAGTAGGTTAGGGATTCTTTTCCTGAACCCCATCTCCACACAGCAGTTTAGGATGATGCTACGGAAACTGGTATCAGCAGCCCATCCAATAACGGCTGCAAGAGAGATGTTCCCCAAACACCCTCCCTTTCCCCTTAAGATCCAGAGAGAGGCTGGAGACTCAAGGTGGAAGGTCCAAAAAGGAGGGTTATGGGGGCCCCCAGCCTTAAGGGTTTAGGGCATAAGGGCACAAAAGAAAGGGGTAGGGGATGGGGAGGCATGGATGCTAGAAGACATGGAGCCTGAGAACCCTAGTGTTAAGGCCAGAGTCATGGGGAATGAAGGGATGTGGGGCTGGGAGGCCCTAAGGGAGATCAGAAACATGGCCTCTGGGGCCCTGGTGGGGGACCAGGAGCCCAGGATATGGAGGACAGGGGACATGGGGCCTGGGACCCTACTGGGAGGGGCTGGGGTACCCCAGGGCTACAGGGCAGTGGGGCTGGTGGCTTACCATAGGGGTTCATGTGGTCACCTGGCATTTGAGGAGGCGTGAGGCCCTGCTGGAAAGGGTCGCTGCTACCGTAGGTACTCTGTTCCATGGCAACAATGGGCTGTTGGGGTGGGGCCAGTGGTGTGTATGATGCCATCATTCCTTCCATTCGATTAGACAGGACCTCTGTAGAGACATGAGAAGGTCCTTCACTGCCACCCCTCCCCCAAACATATACTCAGGGCTGTGCAAGAACCATTGGGACCAGAGAGAGACAAAAGAACTCATTGGCTGCAAGAAAGCAGGGAACAATACTTAGGCATTTAAGTAGATTATAAGTTGATTGGGGGCAGGGATATTTCACTTTTGTCTTCATTACCTGACACATATTAAGCATTTATTATTATTATTTTTATTATTATTATTGATTGATTGATGAAGTTCTGATCCCAGGACCCTGTCTCAAGGGTACAATTCAGGGAGAACAAAGACATGACCGTTCGTGGTCATTCCCATGAAAGCAGTCCAACATGCCCCTCCCTTCTAGAGACACATAACCCCACTTCAGACAATAGCTCCAGCTCCTTCCCCAGAACTGTTTAACAAGGAAGAGGTTCCCTGTGCCTTGACCCTGGGGACACAGAATCTCAGAGGTGAAAGGCATCTGAGAGGGCATCTATTAGTTGAATCTGTACTTAAACAAAAATGCCCTCTATGTCAACTCTGACAAAGATCTATCCAGCCTTCACTTGAAGATTTCCCAGAGGTGGAGAACTCATTGGCTCCCAAGGATCCTCTGGATAATTCTAGTTGATTATTTTTCCTTATTTGGAGCCTAAATCCATCTTTACAATTTCTGCCCATTGGCCCTAGTTCTGCTCTCTGGGACCAAGTAGGAGTCTAATCTCTCTTTCGTATGAAAGCCCTTCAGCTAACCAAAGAAACCTTTAATGTTCCTTATAAGTCTTCTCTTCTCTAGGCAAAACATCCCCCACTAACTAATTCTCATGTGGTACGGTCTCCAGTCCCGTCCACCTCTTCTGGACATGCTCTAGATCAGGAGTGAGGAACCTGTGGCCTTAAGGCCACACGTGGCCCTCTAGGTCCTCAAGTGCAGCCCTTTGACTGAATCCAAACTTCAGAGAACAAATCCCCTTAATAGAAGGATTTATTCTCTAAAACTTGGACTCAGTCAAAAGGCCATACCCAAGGACCCAGAAGGCCACATGTGGCCTCAAGGCTGCAGACTCCCTACTCCTGATTTAGATAGTTAACATCCTTTCTAAAATGTGACACCCAGTATGGAACACAATACTCCAGATATGGCCTAACTCAGGGCAGAAGACTTTCCTTTCCCTCCTTCTGGACATTACCAATCCCCTACCTTTACCCCCATCTCTGTTAAGGCAGCCCTCATAGAAGCTTTGTTAGCTGCTGAGTTATACTATTGACTTATTAGTAAGCTTTCAATTCATTAAAACTCCCAGATCTTTTTCAAGGAAAATATTGCCTAGCTTTGCCTCTCCCCCACCCATCCCATACTTAGGTAGTTGATTACTTGAACCCAAGTGTAGGCCTTTACATTTATCTTGATTAAATTTATTTTATCAGATTTAGCCCATTCTTCAAGCCTTGAAGGTGTGGACCACTCTACAGACCTCTCCCCTCCTCCCACCAGAGAACACCAAAACATCCATCCTAGCCTCCAGTCTGGATACCACAGTAAAGGAAAGGACAAAGAGCAGTAGATTTGAACCCTAAGGGTCTGGGTTCAAATTCTAGCTTTGCAACTTACTAGCTATGGGACCATGGGCAAGTTTTTTCCCTTCTCTGGGCCCCATTTTCTTCATATTATAAAATGGGGGAATAGTGTTGGATGAGACCATGGATTCTCAATCTTTTTTATATGATCCCTCCTTTGACAGCCTGATAAAGCCTATGGGCCCCCTTCTTCTTCTTCTTCTTCTTTTTTTTTTTAGCTAGGTAATGGGGTTAAGTGACTTGCCCAGGGTCACACAGCTAGTAAGTGCTATATGTCTGAGCCTGGATTTGAACTCAGGTCCTCCTGAATCCAGGGCCGGTGCTCTATCCACTGCGTTGCCTAGCTGCCCCCCTTTTTTGGGGGGCCCCCTTCTTCTAATAATGTTTTTAAATGCACAAAATAAAATGCATAGGATTATTTAAAAATTAATATAAATAATAAGGATGATAAAAAATATTTTTTAAAACAAGTTCACAGACCCTGGGTTAAGAACCCTGGGATTATATATGATTTCTAGCATTCTTTCCAGCACTAAGTCCTTAAATCTTATGTTCACTTCTAAAGTCAGGGCTGGGTCCCAAACACCCTCAACACTCTTTAATAGGCAGCTGTTGTGTATTCAGGAGCCTTACCTATCTTTTTAAGCTTCCTAATATTCTCAGTGCATACCACCTTTCAGGAAAGGTGCTGCTGAGCACACTCTAAGCTGGACAGAACTGACCTGCAATTTGTCTTCTTGTTTCTAGGGACTGAGGCTCAAGGAAACAGGGCCCTTGATAAATGTATACATTCAGATCATGTCACCCCTCAGCCTCCATTGTTTTCCCAACAGAAGAGGCCTCTGCTTAGCTTGGCAGGACCTTACGCCATGGTCCCCTCACCCCTGCAGTACTGAGAGACCACACACACACACACACACACACACACACACACACCACACACACACACACGCACACCTTGCCCCAGCCGCTGTGAGTTCTGCTGCTCCTGCTGCTGCTGGTGTCTTCTCGCCAGCTTCTTCATCTGCACAAAAGGAAGACAAGCCATGTCAGTGGAGATGCAGCCCCCACCCACCTCCCCCCTGGCCCTGGCTGCTGGAGGGGGAAGTAGGTAGAATCAGAGAGGAGAAGTGGGAGGGGAGTGGGAAGTAAAAATGAGACGGTTGCTTACTCACCTTGGCTCTCTGGTTCTGGAACCAGACCTGGACCACGCGGACGCTGAGCCCTGTTTCAGCGGCGAGTGTCTCTCTGACCTGCTCAGGGAGAAAGGAAGCCCCAGTCAGCTCCCTCTATCCCCCAACCCAAGCTATCTTTTACCTCCCAGAATGGCCCCAAGCTGACTCAGCCACTCTCACTAGAAATAAACCTTCATCTGGAAAGAGCCAGAAAGAGATCTACAAATATGGCCTTAGGAAGGTATCTAGGACTTCAATCTTCCTATCAGGTGGGATATTCCCCTAGTTGGAGTGCCGCATCTCCTGCCCTTTTGGGACAAACAAAACAAATCTAATCCATCTTCCCCATGACAATCCTTCAAATATTTGAAGACAGTGATCAGAACTCCTCTTCTTCAGACTCCCACATCCTTGCTCAGGGGGCATCTCATTCAACCCATACCTCCGCATGAATCTTCCCTACAATATGCCTTATAGCCTCTGTCTGAAAACCTCCAGGCATGGAGAAGCCATTCCTAACTTAGGTAGCCTATTCTATTTTTGGACTTGCCTAATTAAAGTCACACAACTGTTATATCTGAGTCAGGATTCAAACCCAGGTCTCCTGACCTCACTTTCAGGACTGTTTCACCCTGATTAGGCAACAAGAGAGAGCCAACTTCCAGGCCTCTCCAGTCCAAGGACCCCAGATGTCCTTTGAGGGTCCCTTGGAGAGGGAGGGACAGGTACCTAGAACCTAGAACTCTCCCAGGTCAGGATGGGAGGGAGTATGACCAGGAAGGAAGAGGCAGTCTCTGTTACTGGCCTTGCAGGGGTACCTGAGAAGACTCACCTTTCGACAGGGCTTGGAGGAAACTTCAAAGGAGGCCTTGAACGCTCTCCTCTGCTGCGTGGTGAGGATGGTCCGGGCCGCTTCGGCCTCCTTGGGTCCTTCCCATCATCACTGCCTTTGCCCTGGCCTCCCTGGCCTTTGGCTGGCTTCACATCACCATCTTCCTCATCGCTTTTCACTGTGGGCAACACATTGGAGACATAGTTAGGGGCCTTTGAGGCCATCTAGGAGTAGGAAAAGACAGGCAGAGGTCCATTCTAATAAGCCATCATAGTCCTGGATACTGCTTCAGAGTCAACTCCCTGGCCCCCTCAGACAGTAGCTCCCATTGGTAATTCTGCTTCTCCTATCTGAGTTTATTTTTCCATCTGAGATGGGGAGTGGAGGAAAGTATTAACAATAACTCTCATTCCCATTTTTCCAGTGCCTCACAAAACACTCGCAACCACTATATGGAAGACAGGAGCACAAACATTATTATCCACATTTTATAGATGGGAAAACTGAGGCTCCACTAGAGGAATTGGTTTGCCCATGGTCACATAGCTATGAAGCACCAAGGCTCTTCCCACTACACGAGTATGTCATGATGTCCCCTTTCCCCTCGAGGGCTAAGCCCGGCTCCTCCCCACCCCTACCCCCAATACCAGGGTCAGCCACAAGGGCTTCTGTGAAGGATCTAAAGGAATAGATGTTTGACAGGGAAGACACACACACTCATATACACATAAACACATACATTCATTTGCACAAATAATGTCAATACATCAAGGACCTGTGATTGTCAGACGCTCTTCCCTTACAAGATCACGTTTTTATCTATCATCTATAACTTACTGTCTCATAACACAAATGTACACAATGCATATTCATACATCCATGTACATCCATCCATCCATCCATGGACATATCTATACTATCATACATTTCTCACCTGGCCGTACTATTCTGGAACTTCTCTGATTTTGCCAGGAAGCTCCATTATTGGGAAAATCTCACCATCCTGTAAGATCGCATCTCCTTGCTACTCCACCTCTGATTGGAGGGTGAGGCTACGAACTCCAAACCTCCATTTAAGGTGAAATCCCAGTTCAGACATCTCCCTATTTCTCACCTGGATATGCTATTCTGAGATTTCTCTGATTGACTTCTCTTTCATAATTCTCCAGTGGGTACCATCTCCTCTCCCGCCCCACCATTTTGAGCATTTTATGTTTTGTCTTCCCCTATTAGACAGTAAGCTCCTTGAGGGCAGGGACTATCTTTGTTTTTTTTCATATTTGTATCACATTGCCTGGCACGTGTTGTTGTTGTCATTGTTGTCATTTCAGTCATGTCTGACTCTTTGTGACCCCATTTGGGGTTCTCTTGGCTTGCCATTTCTGTCTCCAGCTCATTTTACAGATGAGGAAACTGAAGCAAACAGGGTTAAGTGACTTGCCTAGGATCATACAGTTAGTAAGTATCTGAGGCCAGATTTGAACTTAGGTCTTCCTAACTCCAGGCTCTGTGCTCTATCCACCTAGCTGCCCTACCTGGCACACAGATGATGCTTAATAAATGTTTATTGACTAATTATCCCTCACTCACATATACACATACAGATTTGTATACACATCAATACAGAAACCCACATATATGCTCATATACATAAATTTACAGCTGAGGATAACAGAACAGGTTTATATCAATCAATAAACATTTATTAAGCACTTACTATGTGCCAGGCACTGTGTTAAGCACTGTGTTTTATGGAGGAAATGACATTTGAGCTGGGCATTGAAGGGAAGATAGGACAGAGAGAGATTTGGGGCACAGTGAGAAATGTGAACAAAATCAAGGATGCCAGAAAATGAGGAGGATAGCCAACAGTTCAATGTGGCTGGAGCAGAGAGTGTGTGGAGGCAGACAGCAGGAGGGAAGACTGATAAAGGGACAAGTTATGAAGGACCCTGAATGTCAAATTAAGGAGTTTGTATTTTATTCTCTAATGGAAAGAGTGCTGAACTAGGACCTGAGTTTTGACTTCTGTCATCTGCTACCTATGTTACCTTGGGCACGTTTCTCTGGACCTCAGGCTCCTCATCTGGAAAATGAGGGTTTTGGATGAACTAACCTCTAGGTGTCTAGCTCTAGTGATCCTAATAGGGAATCGCAGAAGAGAGATGTGTTCAGGCCTGTACAACAGGAAATGCATCTGTAGGTCCATTGGAGGCAAAAGACTAGAGGTTGGGCTTTCAGTTACAAATGGATTACAATAGCTCCGATGAGAAGTGATGAGGGCCTGAACTAGGGTGGTAGCAGTTCAAGGTGAGAAAAGGGGACTCATACTGTGGTAGTGGAATTGACAAGACTTGACAAGGACAGTATGATGGAGAAGGGATTATGATGGAAGATCCCAGGCTTTTGAGCTTGTGTTAGTGATGCCCTCAACCGGAATAGGGAAGGTGACATGTTTATTTTAGTACATGGTGAGAGTGGAAAGCATCTCTGGGGCTAATTTCCAGCAGACAGAGATGTGGGAGTGGCTTAAAAGAAGAAAATGAAGATTGTAGCCCGGTATTGTAAGTGGGTGGGGGTGGAGGAGGGCAGGGAATTGAAGTGAATTGAGAAATGTGGGATATCCTGGGCAAAAATTTGCTTTAAAATACATGTCCTTCATCTCTACCCTCCCATCACATGCAATTAAGTCAACATTTATTAAATTTGCCAGGTACTGGCATACAAAAACAAAACAATTCAATAATTCTTGCCTTAAGGATTATGTATTCTCTTGGGGTTAGAGTGAGAGCAGAGGAGGTCAGCTACAATATCAACTGCACCCCAGGCAAGGGGAACAGCCCGTGCAAAGGTACTGAGATGGGAAATGGAATGCTGAGTTGGAAATTAGTGAAGCCAGTTTAAATGCGACATAGAATATGTGAAGGAGAATAGTATGAAATGATCTGGAAAGGGAAGCAGAAGCCAGATTGTGGAGGGATTGAGATATCAGGTTGAAGAGTTCATATTTTATACTAGAAATAATAGGGAGCCACTGAAGACTTTTGAGCAGATCGTTGATGTGTTGTAACCCACATCTTAGGAAGCTATTTTGTTAGCTGTGTTTCAGTACATTTGGAGAAGGCAGCAAGGAGGCAGAGAGACTATTTAGGAGGCTGTGATAATACTTCAGGCAAGAGGTGACAAGGGCCTGAGGCAGTGTAGGGTCTGTGTAAGTGAGAGGAGACAATGCCAGAAGCAGAACGAGCAAGACTTGGAACCTGGGCTCCTTGGCAGGGAAAACAGAGAGATGAGAGGCTTTTCTTACCCTGGGGGAGTTCACAGTCCAGAAGAAGGACACCGATACACATGCACCCATGACATGCACACAGATAGCGTATGTTCCTTCCAAATCATGGTTTAGTTAACAGAACACTAGGCTCAGCTTCAGGAAATAGGGGTTTGAGTCTTGGCTCCAACACCTCCTGGCCCAATGACTGCTGACGAGTCATAAGCCCTCTCTGAAGCTGCATAGCCTCTCCTGTAAAGCCAAGGCCTGCCTACTTCACAGGGTTGTAGTGAGGGAAGTGCTCTGAAAACCTTAAAGGAAGAGAACCTATTATTGATCATCTATGGACCCATATATATTTAAAAATAAAAACCTTAAGGAGCATAGCACCTAGACTTGGGAGGGGGGGGAAGGGAAAGAGGGGCTGGGTATTAGAATCAGTACTTCTGTTTTCTAGGTTCCTTATGGGGACTAGCAGTAGTAATGACCAGGCCTGGAGCCAGGAATTAATATGATCAATATGACAATGATCATTTACATTTATGTAGCCCCGGGGGCAGCTAGGTAGCGCAGTTAGATAGAGCACTAGTCCTGGAGTCAGGAGGACCTGAGTTCAAATCCAGCCTCAGACACATAACACTCACTAGCTGTGTGACCCTGGGCAAGTCACTTAACCCCATTGCCTAGCCAAAAACAAAAACAAAGCAAAAACAAAACAAAACATTTATATAGCCCCTTACAATCTATAAAGCATGTCACATCCACGACCTCACTTGATCTTCACAACTCTGGGAGATTGGTGGGGCAAATTTATTGTCCCAGTTTTACAGAGGAAATCAAGATTCAAGCACCTGACGTTACTTAACTGAAGTCATACAGATAGTAAATAGTCTATCTGAGACTTGACTTAGGTCTTGGGTTTCACTGGAAAGTGACCTAGGGGTCATATGGGCAGCTAGATGGTATAGCGGATAGAGCACCAGTTCTGGAGTTAGAAAGACTCAACATCTGAGTTCAAATCTGGCTTCAGACACTTACTGGATGTGTGACCCTGGGCAAGTCACTTAACTTCAGTTTCCTCATCTGTAAACTGCGCTAGAGAAGGAAATGGCAAAATACTCAAGAATCTTTGTCAAGAAAACCCCAAATGGGGTGGGTCATAAAGAGTTGGGTATGACTGAACAACAACAAAAAAGAGGTCAAATAGTCTGACTCGTTTTACAGATGAGAAAACTGAAGTACAGAGAAATAACCTGTCCAAATAAGTCACCAAGCTGGATCTTGAGCCAACACTCTTGCTGTTTTGAGTAGATATGTTAGAGAGGAACATATGCCCAGGCAGCTTCTGCTCCGCTCCCCCTTTTCACATATAGAATTGATCTTTTTGAGAGCTGGCTCAGGGTTTCTCCTATTCCCTACCCTTAATCTGTCCACATCTGAACCTCTAATGTTACTAGAGAACAGCCTTCTTTCTGCAACCTGTCACGTTATAGCCCTCAATTGATTTAAACCAAAGCTGTAGGTTCACCTCTATTGGGAAGGCCAATTGAAGGATTAGCCCTCTCCCTGGTCACTTCTTTACATACTCTGAGCTCCTGGAGAACCAAGATAGCCGGGGTGTCTCACATTGCTCTGTACTTCCCTTTGCTTGGCTCTACGATTTTCCTCCTATTGTGCTGCGTGTCCCCTCCACAAGCCTCAGACTCCCAAGGTGGACAGGCCCCAGTGCCCCTTATCCAATGACCCTTCCACTCCCTCTCCCCCAACCGATACAGGTACCTTCTATTGTGGTATTGAAACAAAATTTAAAGATCTTCGTTGATAGGAAACTCACCACCCCACGATAAAGCCAGTTCTAATGTCGGGTAGCTTTCATTATTAGTATGTTCTTAATGTGAAGTGAAATCTTTTTATAAAGAAGCTATTTTCCTTGACTGTCTTGAAAACACTTAAAATCATGTTTCTCCTACATTTCTCCTTATCTAGGCAAAACATTCCCCATTCTTTCAACCAGCTGAGAGGCTGGAGCAGCCACATCCTGACTGCTGCCTCAGTTTGCCAGTGCTCTTCCAAAAGTGTGTTGCCCCCCAAATGGACACGGCAGTCCAAATATGATCTGACCAAGGCAGCAGTCAGGGGAACTAGCCCTGATGAGAGGCAGTCAGCGTTCTGCTGTTCCCTGGCCAGTGACAGGTCCCTTAATGGTTGGGCCTCTAACCAAAAGAGAGGGAAGTCCTTTTTCTCCCAAGCCTATCATTAGCTCACCAGTAGGGATGGAATTGGAGAAGGAAATGGCAAGCCACTACAGTATCTTTGCCAAGAAAACCTCATGGACAGTATTGGTGTGCTATGGTCCACGGGGTCATGAAGAGTCAGACTGAATGATTGGACAACAAGGGATTAACCACTGGACCACAGAGTCTGGAGTGCTATATTGAGAGGCATGTTACCCTCCCATGGCACTACGAGGTCATGAGAGTGAGGAATCTGACAATGGGTTTTTCAGGGAGAAAAAGTCTCTATCATATCATGGAAGGCAGGCCCTAGTGATTTGAAGACGCTAGCTGGGCCTGTCATTCCAACCTCAGAGTAGTTCTCCTAGGGATGTGGCCTGTGAACAGTCTGAGTCACTGGGTTTGAGAGTAATGGAGGCCCAGGCTGGGGGACAGGACCACAGCCCTGGAAGGTCTGAAGCTCCCCAGGCAGTGGGCTCTGAGATATCCAAGGCTACCTCCTTGACAGGTAGGCCTGTCCTCCCTCCTCCCAAGACTGCCCCTCTCCCTGCCCCCTGCCCCCGACCCTCTCCACCCTCACCAGGCCGTGGCTCTTCCCAGAGGCAGAAGGCTGGGAACTCACCAGAGTCTGACTCATCCGGGCTCACAGAGCTGAGCAAATCTTTCTCTTTCTCATAGTCACTCTTGCAGAGCAGCTGGCCCTCCTTGAGCACAAATTCATCACCTTTCCGAAGCTGCCTCTCGCACACGCAGCAGCAGAAGCAGCTGAGGTGGTACACGCATTCGAGGGCCCGCATGACGAACTCCGTGGGTGCAATCTTCTCCATGCAGCCGCTGCACTTGGCTGCAAAAAGTCTGTTGGGGGGGAGGGGAGACAGGAAGACTTCAGACACAGGGTGGATCTCTCCACCCTGTTGAGTGGGACAGAGCCCTTGGCTGAAGTGGTTGGGGGTGGTTGCTAAGGGACCAGGGTGGGTCTGTTCATAGGGCCTCCTACTTCAAACCCTACCCCTACAGAGGCCACCCCTCAATATACCCTGGGACCTTGATCTATCCATCCTATAATAGATACAATGAGATATAATGAGATAATATTTGTCAAGTACTTAATACAGTGCCTGGCACATAGTAGGTACATAATAAATGCTTATTCCCTTCCCCTTCCCTCTGCTGTGTGAAGAAAGGGACCTATATATGTAACACACACACACACACACACACACACAATATGAATGATCTATCTGCATATATGTATGTAACACATATGGGGATATAAGGAATCTGCCCCATGGGCCTCTTGGGTCCTGATCCAAGGTAGAAAGGTCTTTGTTCCCTGAGCTGTGGCCTTTTCACCTATTATTAGAGTTGGAAGGGACCTTAGGGATTATCTAATCTAAACCCCTCATTTAACAGGTAAGGAAACTGAGGCCCGAGGATGGGAATGGCCTGCCCAAAGTTACATATCTAGGAAGTAGGATTCAGCCAGGATTGGAACCCAGGTCTCCTGGTTCTCATTCCACCATTCTGTTCACTAGGTAGTGGGACCCAGGGAGGCCCCCAGGGACTTGCCTCAGGGTAATTGTGAGCTGAAAGATAAGGGAGAAAAATTCCCTACCCCCTAAAACCTCTGAAGCATCAGGAATGGGTAGGTTCCCCTGCCTTAGCCTCATGCAGGAGCTAAGAGGATGGATGAAAGGAAGGACATGGAAGAAAACAGCAAGGTTGCTAGTGCCTCCTCCTTCCTAGAAAAGAGGCATGAAACTACTGGGACAGGATGGCGCATACATTGTCAGGCGCAGTTATCATGGAAGGTTTTTTTCTTTGTAACGAGGGGGAAGATGGGTGTCAAGTTTTGAGGACAAGAGAGAGAGAGAAAAGACTTCTGGAAGTGACTGTGATATAAGAACAAAAGGAATCAACAAAGCTTATTTTTAATAGTTCTTTTCTGCTGTTCCAAGCTTGTTTGGGAATGTTTCACTACAAGAGTGGGACAGGGATTCATGGACCTGGCCCAAGGCCAGGGGAGACCCTCAACTCAGGGTCTGAACCCCACCCCTTCACCCACACATGTCAGGATGAAGCAGATAGAGCACTGGGCCTGGAGTTGGGAAGACTTGAGTTCAAATCTGGCCTCAGACACTTACAAGCTGTGTGATCTTAAGCAAGTGTTTTAACCTCTGTCTGACTCAGTTTCTTCCACTATAAAATGAAGGTAATAATAGCACCTACCTCCCTGGGTTGTTGTGAAGGTTAAGATAATGTTTGTGAAGCATTTAGCACAGTGCCTAGCATATAGTAGGAACTCAACAGGCAGTCAGTCAATGAACATTTATTAAACACCTTCTATATGCCAAGCACTGTGCTAAGTGCTGCGGATATAAAAAGGCAAAAAGCAGTCTCTGCCCTAAAGGAGTGCACTATCTGATGTAGGAGACAATATACAAACAAATATATACAAAACAAGCTCTACACAGGATAAATAGGAAATAATTAAAAGAGGGAAAGCCTTGGAATTTAGAGGGGTTAGGGAAGGCTTCCTGTAGGAGGTGGGCTTTTAGTTGGGGCTTAAAGGCAGTCAGGTAGTTCAGTAGTCTGAGTGGAGAAGGGAGAGTGTTTCAGACATGGAGGCCAGCCAGAGAAAATGTGAGGAGCTGAGAAATGGAGAGTCTTGTTTGTGGAACAGGCAAGAGACCAGTGTCATTGGATGGAAGAGGACATGTTGGGAAGTGAGGTATAAGAAGACTGGAAAGATAGAAGGAGGCTAGGATATGAAGGGCTTTGAATGCCAAAACAGCATTTTGTATTTGTTCCTGGAGGCAATAGGGAGCCACTGGAGTTATATTGAGTTGGAGGAGGGAGGAGGTGTGACATGATCAAACGTGTTTTACGAAAATCACGTTAGTGACTGAATGGAGGATGGATTGGAGTGGGGAGAGACTTGAGGCAGGCAGAGCCACTAACAGGCCATGGCAATAATCCAGGTGGGAGGTGATGAGGACCTGCACTCCAGTGGGGGCAGGGTCAGAGGAGAGAAGGGGGCATTTATGAGAGATGCTGCAAAGGTGAAACCGGCAGGTGCTAGCAACAGCTTGGATACGGGGGTGGGAGGAGTGGTGAGATGGGTTGTGAGCCTGAGGGACTGGGAGGATGGCATTGCCTCCTACAGTAATAGGGAAGGTAGGAAGGGGAGGGGAAGGGTTTGAGGGAAAGAAAATGAGTTCAGTTTTGCACACTTTGAGTTCAAAATGTCTACTGGACATCCTGTTCAAGATGTCTGAAAGGATGTTGGAGACGTGAGACTGGAGATAAGCAGAGAGGTTAGGGCAGCATGGGTAGATTTGAAAATCATCTGCATATAAATGGCAATTAAATCTAAGGCTGTTGATGAGATCACCAAGTAAAGAAATACAGAGGGAGAGAGAAGATGGCCCAAAAGAGAACCCTCTGGGACACCTACAGTTTGAGCATGACCTGTATGAGGATTCATCAAAGGAAAGTGAGAAGGAGTAGTCAGATAGGTAAGCAGAGAATCAGGAGAGAGTGACATTCTGAAAACCTAGAGAAAAGAGATTATCAAGGAGAAGAGGGGGATCAATGAAGGTTGCAGAGAGGTCAAGAAGAAAGAAGATTGAGAAAAGGCCATTAGGTTTGTCAATTAAGAGATAATTGATAACTTTGGAGAGAGTAATTTCAGTGGAATGGTAGAGTCAGCAGCCAGATCAAGAAATGAGTTAGAGGAGAGAAAGTGGAGGCACCTATAATAAATGTGGCCTTTTTCAAAGAGTTTAGCTACAAATGGCAGAAGACATATAAACCATGGTAGGATCAAGCGAGGATTTTTCAGGATGGGGGAGACATAGGCATGTTTGTAGACGGTAGGGAAGGAGCCATTAAACAGGAAGATAAGTGATAGACGGGGCAATCTGTTGGAGGAGACAGGATGGAATGGGATCACTAGTGTACTAGTCTTGGTAAGGAGTAAGGCCACCTCATCATGTGAGATACAGATGAAAGAAGAGATAGTGACAAAAGAGAGCTGGCTGAGTGATAAGACGAGGAAGAGGAGAGCAGGGGAGCTCACGATGAATGGCCTCAATTTTTTCTGTAAAATATGAGACAAGGTTCTTGGCTGAGAAAGGAGGAGGGGGAACTATGGGAGGTTTGAGGAGGGATGAAAGTGAACTGATAAATGTGAGGTAGAAGCAGCAGGGAGGGCCCGGGTGAAGTTGTGTAACACAAATCTGTAGGGGGCTCAGTCAGAATGGTTGTGTGGGATCTTCTCCATCTTCATTTGGCAGTACATGTGGAGGAGTAAAGGCAGCTGATGGCAGGAGTCATCCAAGGCTAAAGCTTGGCAGGTTGTAATCGGTGATACGAGAAGGGAGCCAGGAACTCAAGAGAGAAGGACAGCGTGGAACTGAACTAGTTTACCAAAGGGTCAAGATGGGGAAAACAGGAGAAAATGGCCAGTGGAAAAGTAGAGAACTGAAGTGTCAAGAGACTGAAGAGAAGGGTGTCAACAAAGAATAGGGATTGGTGAGGGAAGGCAGAGGGAGAGGTGGAACACCAATAGGTTATGGTCGAATGAGGAGATTTCAGAATTCTTGAACATGGAGGTGGTGCATTCGTGGACGACAAGATCAAGGGCATGATCTTTGTGTGTGGCTGAGATGAGGTGGATAAGTAGCTCATGGGAAGTGAGTAGGCTGAGGAACCAGGTATTGAGAGTATTTGAGAGAGAGTCAATAAGTAGGTTGAAGTCCTGTAGGAAGAAAGCAAGAGTTGGGGAGGACAGAAAAATTGTGAGCCAAGTATAGACTTGTTGAGGAAGGAAGGGAAGTGACCTGGAGCTCTGAAAGCAAAAGCTACCAGGAGGTTAACTAGGTGGTAGATATGAATAGCATGAACCTCAAAGGAAGAAGGGCTAGTGAGTGATGGCAGTAAGAGGAGAATCTGGAGGTGGCAATGGGGAGCAAAGCGTGTTCTAACTCTCCTGCCTCAACCAATGAGCAGAGGGAATCAATGAAGGTGCAACCAGTACTAGAGAGGGTGGCCAGGGAGGCTGTGTATTCAGGGGTGCCAGGTTTCAGTGATTGCTAGAAAATGGTCCAATGAGTGTCTCTGAGCTCCCTGCAACGGATGCCATCCTACCCTAAGGGGTGACATCTGGCATTGACTTTGACTAACTGCTGCCCCCAGAACAGTTATCTCCATCTCCCTTGCCCCGACCCCAGCCCAGGCTTCTAGAGAGTACCCACCTCTCTCCACTGGCTGGCTTAAGAGCTGTTTGTTTGGACCTCAGCTTCTTCTCATCCTGTGCCTGCCTCCTGCTTCCAAAGGGCCCTCTGCTTCCGCCTCTTTGTGGGCAAACAGTTTGTAATTGTTTTATTACAACTAATTTATTACAAGCTGGAAGCGCCCAAGCTGTCTCAGAGAAATTTGCTGTTTGAGTTAAGTTCGGTTCGAGGGATTTGCTCAACAGGCTGGCTCTAAGGACAGCAGACCTGATCCCAGTGGGTTTGTTTGCTGAAGGCTTGTCTCGGGGCAGGCAGCAAGAGGGTGGATGTCCTGCTTAAAGCGTGCTGGGTGACAGATACTGCTTGTTTGCTGACTGGCCCTTGGGAGATCTTCAGCCTTGCCCCATCCTGGCCAGTCTTCAGTCATGGGGCAGGTGCCTTAACCACCCCTTTCCCCAAGGTGGCCTGTTCCCCAGTTACTGTGGGGCTATTTCTAGGGGTTATCAGCACCTCCTATTTAAGGGGTTATCAGTACCTCCTATGCAGAGGGAGGGAAGAGCAGATGGAGGGACACAGAGACAAGGCTTGGCCAATGGAGGGAAAGCAGGCAGGCAGCAC